CAGTACGAACATAATGATTAATGCATCGTACATCTATTTAATAAATACCACTTTACCATGATTCAACGATTTACACTAGCCATTTATTATAATATGCAGTATTGTAGCCGATAACAGTTTCCGATAATATCGTCTACATAGCTGTTCTTACCTACGCCAACAAAAATGTACATTAAATTATGGAAGTTTAGATTACCTAATTAAAATGTCAGGGTCCTTTGTATATACAATTACCATAGATTCGACGATTATTACAGATGTTATGCCGAGCTACGTAAATAAACTATCGGAAACAAAGCTAACTAATCTTGTCCCTTCAAATAAGAGATTAATTATCAATAAAAAATGTCACTGCTCAAGATGATTTGTTCAGATCACATTTGTTTATTCAGCTTAATGAAACACTGTAGCTAATATGATGTAATAAACTATATATATCTCATTGGATCAAACTTTCACACAATGGTCAACTTCACGGTTAGTTCTCTCTGGCAAGTATCTCTCTGCACTATTGATTTTCGGGATTTTCACTGAACCCAAAGCTCGCTAAAATCTTACGTACTATCAACTGAATGATGAATGACAAGTTCTGTCGCTCCTATTAACGTTAACGAGTCGATTCATGTCCACAAAAGCTAAGTACGAACTTCGCACAAAGTCCTAACTTCTTGTACCACGTATCAACAACTACGTTCACACTAATGGAATCCGACAAGTATAACAAAAACATGGATAGGAATTCTTGCTGCGAAGTTATTCCACCAAGAACTCTTACCCGATTGATATCAAATCACAATCACAATCAAATTAAGCTCCCTGTGCCTAATTCTAGTTTTGTGCGCGTGCGCAGTGACTGGTTTGCAAGAACCAGTCATTCGCATCTGAATAAAAAATAAAGGCGCCGTTCACTGCTTCTGTTAATGAATATATTACGCAACAGATCATGTGCCAGTGTTGAACAGCGAGCCCCATTTGTTATTACGCATTCGCATGATGGCTGGCAAAAATGTAAAACATATGACGTCACGGTCTATGGCCTCCCTAACAAACTGCATTTTTATCATAAAAACAATTTCCCCACTCAATTTGTTAAATCAATAAACTATTAAATTGGAACCTTGTATTGTAATATTGTTGCCACCTTCGCAATGTTACTAATTGCTTGCCAGTGGTGCTGGCATTTATTTTACTAGATTTTACATAGTGCCATAATGACAGTAGTAATAGGATTATTTACGATTAGGTAGGTTTAACTTCACTAATTTGTGAATAAAACAATTTTCAATAGTCAACATGAAACCCAAAATCCGAAATTACCGCCCAAAAAGCCACTAGCACTGAGCTATTAATAATTTACAGTGTTTACGATTGCTGAACTGATCGAGTCAGGGCTGTTTAAGATTACCTGACAAGTTTATGTTGTTCAATTATGTTTTATTGTTTTCGAGTTTTTATCATTTTATGCGAAATTTAGTTGATAGAAGAAAAAAAGTTGAGATGTTCGCTGCGACGTCAAATTCGATTCAGAGATCGACCAGGGATCGATATGCACAGAAACTTTATTTCCTAGGAGATCATATTATAGTTTGCATTATTTTATTAATTCGAATATATATTTTAAATTCAGGTCAAAGGTCCTGGTCTGCTACCAGTATACTACGCCACACATTCATTCTGTGTTCTGCATTCTAAGTGTACATAGTGTGTGATTTTGGTACAATTGGAAATTTGGGGGGGTTAATTTATATAATTTCTGGTTTAATGTGAAAATCAATTGTAGTTGACGTTCGTTATGGTGTGAAATGCAAATGTTTTCTGTTCAAGTCATACATCAGTCAATTTCACAATTTCGATATGTTGTAGTATTTCAATCATACTTTGGTAGTTATGTCTGCAGTTTTAGAAAAGGCTCCTGTGTCAGTTGCAATACTCGTGAAAATTGCAAAACATTGCCTAGCATTACACATGGTTAAGTCGAGTACAGAATGAGTACTAGAGCAGGCATATTAAATAGTTAGGAAGAAGTCTGTCACAGCAGAGACAACGTGAGCGCACAGTTATAATATATACACACGGACCATTGTATTACGGGTGGATCACTTGCTCATTTTTTCACCGAGATATCTTTGTATGCATGGGGAATGAAAAGAACCTTTAATGAGAGTTACAAACGTTTTAACGTAATAAACAAATTAACTGGAATTATATATTAGATATTTGAATACGATATTCTTAGATACTGGAACGCACCAGATATGATATTCTTATATTATAACTGACTGCCTAATCACTCAAATAGCAAATACATATGTAATTAGGAAAGGGGTCATATACATGGTGGAGATATATATCTTTGATGTGAAACTGAACAGAAACAGTTACTACATGTGAAGGAATGGCATGGACACATTAAAAATCGAAATGACGTAAATTAGGAAAATATTCACCAACACATCAATTCACTGCCACAAAACGAATAATGTGCGAGATGAAAATCAGTTTCGTTTTCAACATTCCTTCTTTAAAGAAAGCGGAGTTGGGAGAATTTACAACAAATGTAAATCAAATTAATTAGAAGATATCACCATCGCTAAAAGTGCCAAAAGTGTAAAGATCTAGCAGACTGAACCGTCTTGAAAACACAAAAAAAAATTATGCGGTTCAGAATTAGTGTAACAATATGCAGCGTTGCTACCAGAGCTTACACATTGTATTCCATGATCATTCTGTATTTGGTGACCGTGTCAGCTCAATATGACTTTCAATCATGACTTTTTGTAATGTATGAACAAAACCAATAACTCACAGGCAAAACGTTGTTCCGAGCATTGGGAATAATGAGATAAAATTTGAGCAGTACCAGTACTGGTAAATTTAATACATAACGAAAAACCTTGTTCATTTTGATCTTTGGTTTCTTAATATCAATGAGTAGCAAACTTGGGTTCTTTCATTGAGTATGCTATTTTATGTACTTATTTTCATCTCACAGCTTGTGAACATGGACCTGGTATATTGAACATACACCTTGATATGTTTTAAATTTACTTTTATTAGAAACAACGCTACACTGCCCTTCGTGGCACAAAGTGATAATACACGTGCAGTTTATTATGTATTGCTTCAAAATAATCACAATTCTCCTGGAGATAATCGAATTTGAAAATAAATTAGATTAAGAACTTGAGAAATACTAATGAAAAGATATTCCCAGTATTACAAATTAAAATCTGAATATACATATTGATAACAAATTGTCCTGAAATTATTAAAAAGGTATTTGTATTTTTTTAAATCAAATATAATATATAAATGTAATAATATACATATTATTAAATGTGTTATGGGAATTGTGTCCATATTATTATCCTTTATAAAAGTGTAAAAGTGTATCAACCATTTCTATCTCTCATCGTGTGTGTAGCACACTGTATAGTATTCGTTCGATGAAATACAATAACTGTATTGTACGGGACAAAACACAAACTGTGTATGTGTATTAGAAAAGTCAATTCTACATATATACTTTTCAATATAAAATATAAAACAGAAATAAGAATTACATATTCCAGTACACATTCAAAAATAGCAAGAGAGAAAAGATTATGTGCTACGTCGTGTTAGCTATTCGTTGTGCTAGGCTGTTTACCAACCTACTTCGGGCGTCCGATGTATGTGTTTGCAAATAGATAATTAAACAGATATGATTGGCTGACAATTTACAGCTAATAACACATTGTGATAATGACCAATTTGGCATACTTATCATGCATTACGCAATCCACATTTTGCAAAGTTGCATCCCGTATATTGTGATAAAATACCGTTACAGTTGCACAACAATTATATGAACCTTCATCCAATGAGCATCCACCTATCATCCCCTGTTGAACTATCAAATAATTTAAAAGCATATGTTTACAGTAAATGATCGGTACAATAATTTGTCGATTACTAAAACCAATTGCCATATAAAAATATTTACACTGCCGTTCCGCTATACATTATGGTAAATAGTAACCGGGCAACCAGACCGTGTCATAATCGGTGCGATGTACTTGATGATAGTTTTAATTGAATGCAAATATATACAAGACCAACTAACAAACAAACAAACACGCACGTACAATAACTGATCAGCAGATTACGCTATTATCAAATCTGTGGAGTAACCACGCACACATTAATGAAGGAAATTGAAAAACTAGTAACGATCATACATAGAATAGTAAAACTCCGATCCCTGTAAGCGGCGCACAAGCCGTGCAGAAAAACGAACAAAAATAAAAACCCGAATATTTATGGGACTAAAAACCTCTGGAAATCTGCGCCCGCCACATGTTCGAATGCACCAGAGGGAGGGTGGCGGGTTTCACCCTTCGCTATACATATAGTGGAGTTGTACATCTACGAGTGTGATTACTACAATAAACATATTAAAGCTGTTATTAAAATTTTAAAAATACACTTTTTTTATAATAAAATAAAACTGAATGAAAAGAACCAAAAACAAAATGCTGCTAAGTGCTACATGGCAACGTGAAAACTGATAAATCTTTATCTGATGACACCGCGGTACGCGGAGAGCGACCTCTCGGGACCGTGTAAACCGAAGGAAATCTCATAACCACGCAGTTTGTCAGTGATCGGCTTGGTCATGAGGTACTCTGTATTCGGTGACGATGAGGTACTTAGCTTGTAGCACTGATGTTTGCTACTGATGTGTTATGTCTAGACAAGAAACTTCTAATTGTATCGTTTGATGGCTTCAGATCTGATTACCTTGACCGTATAGAGACGCCCAACATAGATGGGTTCATTAAAGAAGGAGTACGAGCAGACTATGTGACTCCAACTTTTATAACAAAGACGTTTCCTACCCACTATTCTATTGTAACAGGTAAGAATCACATTTATTCGACGGTTCTCAAAACTTAAAATAACGCAGATAGGGCATATCTACCGCGTTCATTGTGACATGAATTAACACACGCATCTATACTTGAAAGGTCATTAACCGGTAACTTATACCCAACTTTTTGAGTGAATCTCTCTTTTTTAGAGTAATCACAAAATTGGCATTGATGAATTATGAATTATTTAGCCCTAACAAAGTTGACTATTGATAGCTGATCATATGGCATAAAACGATTAGATATTATAGAAAGAAATCAAACGATGTTTAACAAAAAAATCTTTCTTGACGTTGTATCAACTATTAGTAAGTATAACTTAGTGACCAGAAGTTGTTCGATTATTCGCTCTACAATTTTAGGTTATCACGATTAAGGTTAAATTAGACTTGTCGAAGTGCATACCACGTGCTCAGCACAAAGTCCCATGTGATGTTTACAGTGTGTGTTACGCCGTCCTTTATCGGAAAATTCATAACTAAATTAAAACATTAACTACTCTGTATACAATATAGAAGTGTTGTATCAATAACAAAGGCCACAGGGAGAATTTAATTTAAACAAGTATGCCATATATATATTTTCACTATCCGACAGATTTTTTGTTTTCTCTGACGCTGGTGTACTAACAGCAAATTTATTGCGTTTATTGGTAGTCTTGTCACGAAAACTGTCCTATAATTCCACAGCTTTGTACTGTTTATATTAGGATCGTTGACGAGGTAGTCGGGCCCGTATATATCCATGTATATATTCATAGTGTGTAGAAACGTGATAAACACACCTAGGTGCGTGTTAATCATGGCTACACTTAGCTATGTTGTCATTTATGAGTACATTAGTCAAGCAGCAGTTTACTCTAAATCACCTTTACAGATTATCTGTACACATCGGACAATGGTTTCCCCTACTTGATGTGTTTCTCGCAAACAGAACTGTGGCGCCAATATAATAGACACCTGATAAGGCTAAACAAAATACTGGCCGTGAGATGTTACAAAACATGCGCTGACGTGTTTTCGTTTTTTTCTTTTTCATTTTACAGTAAAGTCATTAGCTTATTTTTAACTGACGTGCACGCTGACCATTTTTTTTTTTTTCATTTTAATTTTTGAGCTTTCAGATAAACAATTTCAAATTATATTTATTCGTAACAAGCCTGCCAGTAAGTCTCACAAAAGGGCAGAGCCCGAATACAACTTACTGAGGTACATCTGCAATTCAAGTTTGGATTCAATTACTACACTTGAATATTTGTTTGACAAATCATATTAAAAGTTATCTCTTAGTTGTCTGGTAATCATCAACATTTAGCTTGCTCCTACTCGTTTGTCATACTTATTTTTAATGCTCATAATTTTAGAAATGCTCTATAAATAAAAAAGATGAAAAGAAATGTTATTGGTTCTAAAACTGCAGCTGATAAGCAGATAATAATATTAATAATAATTTAACATTATTAACTGGAAACTAAGTGAGATCAAGAAGTTAGATATCAAAAGAAGCAAGAAAATACAAATTGAAGCTGGGAATGGCCAATGAAATCATCAAAATGAAAATGCACGAATTACAAAATATGCGAAGAGAGTAAAAAAAGCTAAGCACCATGCTCAGGTGGAAGAATGGAAAGAGAAGATAATGCATGGCAAGTATTCAATTAGATTGAAAGAAGCAGACGTTGACCAACACAAGACCAATAAATGGCTGAAACAGAAAGACGGATTGTTGCAGCACAAGACCAGAGCCGAGGAACTAGATCTTATCATCAAAGATATCACAGACCCCCAGTGCAGAATATATGTGGCAGATATGGGAGAGCATCGATCATATTGTGTCTGACTGTCCTGAATTAGCAAAGACAGAATACATTCAGATACAACAGAACAGCTGCATACGTTGACTAAAAGATAAGCAGACATTATAAGAACAACGCTGCAGACAAAGAAATAAGTACCAACAGACCAGACATAGTTATCAAGAACAAGAAACCTACCCTCGTCACAGGTTGCAACATACTTCTGCTTCCAAGGCTACATTGTAAATGCCATGTTTGCCATTTATCGCTGTAGCGTGCTTCACGTATTAAGACAGCTCTTTTTATAATTACGTCCAGTAAGATACAAATGAAACTATTAATAACACTTTTAATAATATATAGATATAAATGAACGTGGTGCTACTCTCTACTATCCAAA